AAGTGTCTGGAGTTAGAGCTTGTTATGATCAGGTTTGTGCACATAATAGGCCCATCAACATGTGCAAATAATATTTATGTGATTGATAAATGTGCTTGAATTGATCCAATATGAATTGTATGCTTGCCCAAGGATATACATTTCATGACCCTAGTCACCAAAGATGGATGCACATGCTAAGAGCACAGGAAGCATTTCATATGCATCACACAGGAAGCATTTCATATGCATTACACAGGGGTGACTTACTCAGTATATCTTTATGAATATGGTTATCAAAATATTGCTGTTTAAAGATTTCGGGAGCTAATGTTCTTTGAATCCTGGTCATGGTTTAAATAGGGCACAGCACTCGGACCCTGGTGTCTTATCATTGAAATGGTAAGCTTAACTAACCATTTCAACGATTATACAATTATACACCATGTCCTTGTGCTCACTCACTCACCCACCCACCCACCCACCCACCCACTCACTCACTCACTCACTCACTCACTCACTCACTCACTCACTCACTCACTCATTTTTCCCTTGCACTATGAAGCAATATTCTGAATCACAATTTTGATTAATACATCAAGTGATTCATGTACGATCAGGGACCTTGAAACAGTCTTATTTTATTTCCTGATAGGAATTATATTTCTCCTCCTTCCTGTGTCATTGACTCATGTGAGAGATCGCCACAGACCAAGGGGTAGACACTATGGGATAACATATCCTCTCCACAGCTCGGACCAGTGGTTTATGTAGCAAGACTAGATTGGGCAAATAAGCAGCCCTGACAGATTTCACTAATCTAAGGACTTCAGCATCTACCCTTGGCACGTCAGCATCTGGCCTAGTAAACATGGTAATCTTTTGTTTGGTCTAGTATGCTTGGATATAAACTATCCATATATATCGGTATATCAACACTAAGTTCTGAAAATGATGCCACGGTGTTGACACAGACTGAGGTACTGACATTTGAATGAGTTTTCTTTGGAAGAATTTGTCTATGGCAGTACTAGTCCCATAAAAGCTGAAATTGGGGTCACATCAGAATTGCCTGATTGTCAGTTTTCTGATGGTGTGGATATACTGTTGCTCATACTATCAACCAGTGGTTTGTCTAGACTCCTCAGATAGCTGGAATATTGCTGACTGTGGAAACGTTCAGTCCCTAAAGAAGGATGCCTAAAAGCAGAGAAAGCCTCATTCAATCTCATTAAAATCAGATCTTAGTTCTCGCTACCACTAAACAAAGATCTGAGAACACCCCATTACGGGTCACGTAAGACTGACCTTCGTGAACTTGGACCGACCAGTGGAATGACTGAAGAAGTCTACATTAGCCAATCAGAAGGCGACTTTCTCGTGCTTTAATTTTAATTTCTCGTGCACTAATTTCAACTGGCAACTACGCTTCGAAACTTTTTTTGACAAATTCTCAATTAAAAATTTGAAACCTGAAGAAAAGAACATTCTGGAATGGCTAATAGATGGTTTAGATTGTATGGATTCAGTCGTTAAGCCCATAACTATCGTTTGGAATATAGAAAATAAAGTTTTCGAGGTTGCATGATTAGAAATCACATTCCGACTGTCACTTTCATGATCTGGTAAGCCTCGCTCTGATTGGTCAGATGAAAGGTCATTCTGACGTGATCCCTAATGGGATATCCTCAGATCTTAGTTTAGTGGTAGCCAGAACCAAGATCTGATTTTTATGAGATTGGTTACTCATCATGATCATGTTTAGCAGTAGCTAATCTTTGGTTCATGCAAGTAGAAAATAGATTCACTGAAAGTTATTGTTGCCTACGTCAGGCTTCATCAGCTCAGTATTGTGATTCATCCCACAGATGTTCTCTCCAAAGGATTTTAAACCAAAGTATTGTTCTTGTTCTGAACAGGAAGAAAGAATGGAGGATCCTTACACAGTATCAATGTTGCAAAAAGCCCTTTTGTAGAAGAACAAGCTTATTCATGATGTCACTTCACCATTTTTTTAAAAGGTCGTGGCAGATTGTGTCAATATAATGGTTGCAATATGACAACCGCCAGTAAGCACTGTACAGCCCAGTAGTTCACACCAGCCGTTGCAGCACTAATGATGCTAATTGTTCCTCGAACCCCATGTTTATGGAACAAAGTTTGCATGACATTTATTGCCTAACTCCGAGCCCTATATAAATATCCTTGTTATTTTACCTGTAGAAAAAGGTGCTGTAGTTTAGCTCCTGTGTGGTGTGTGTCAGTCGAAGTGTGTGTGGACATGATCTAGCTCAACACAGGTGTCAACAGTAAACATGGTAAACACCGCCAGGCCTTGGCACTGTGCGCTTGTATGCACTCCTATGTACTAAGGGCAAAACTAAGGGGAGAATCTCTCTCTCTTTCTCCCTCTCTCTCTCACTCATTCTTTCTTTGTTTCTCATTCTCTCTTCATACCTGATTACATTGAGGAGAATCAAGTCATATATATCTCTCACACTCTCTCTTGCTGTCTTACATAGCTGATTACAATGAGGAGAATCAAGGGACCATTCTCTCACACACACTCACTCTTTTCTCTCTCTTTCTCTCACACACACACACACACACACACACACACACACACTCCCTTTCACTTTAACCTCAAATTCTCCTCTCTCTCTCTCTCTTTCACATTTCTGCTGACATTGAATTTTTTTATTGACCGACATTTCTTTCTGAAACTTTCGACTGATTAATGTAGACTTGACAGTTGCAGATGAATGTGTGGCCTCTCATTCCCGGGGGAAATTTTACTTTCGATGTTAAGTGAATTAGTGCTTCAAGATTTGACAGTGCAAAACATCCTGGCTATAACAAGAAGAATGTTTGATTTTCTTGAGACAACATCATCTGGGGACAAAATGTTCACCTGCTGAGTCTTGGTCTTAGTTTATGATTCAACATGATCTGGACTTTGCTATAAATCATTGAAAGCTCATGGGATAGGGAAGTTTATCACTTGATTAATAAAACAAGTTTTACTCACAGGGTAAGAATGTGAAAACTGTTCCCTAAAAGGGCAGGGGTGTTCAGCAATACCACAGAATTCCGTCTGTCCTCCTGTCTGTCCGTCCTTCTGAGGACATTTTATGTTTTTGTGCGACCTATAACTTGAAAACTACTACAGAGATTCTTTCAAACTTTAACAATTTTGGAACCTTAAGCATGTTAAGGAGAGGTGCAGTGTGAAGTTCTATTTCAATATTTGAATTTATTTGGAAAAAGACAGCTTTTTTCATTTTTTTACTGAAACTTTTTTGCAACCTCTAACTTCGAAACTACTGTATGGATTCTTTTTCAAATTAAGGGAACAGTTTCCGTACTAGTGGAAGAGGTGCAGTGCAAAGTTTAATTTTGATATTTGTATTTACTAAAAAATATATGATTTTCTTCATGTTTAAAACTTAATTTTTTTACTTTAACATTTAAGCGACCTATAACTTAAAAATTACTCAATGGATCAGCTGTGGATTCTTTTTCCAATTGTGGCTACAGTTTCCATACTTATAGCAGAGGTGCAGTTCAAAGTTTAATTTTGATACGTGTTTTCTGAAAACAATATGATGTTTTTCGTTTTGTTAACTTAAAATATATTTTTACTTCAACATTTGAGCAACCTCTAACTTATAAACTACTTCATGGATTCTTTTTCCATTTGGGGGTTACAGTTTCTATACCAGTAGGAGAGGTGCAGTGCAATTTGATTTTGACAAGTGGATTTTCCGAGAAAAAAATGCCTTTTTCATGTTCATGATGTTTTAAACTTAGAAATATGTTGAAGTTGAGGGTATTAGTGAGCCCAGCTCACTTTTCATGTTGCTTTATTATACAGTCTAGCTATAAACTCAAATCTGACTATAGGAAGTATTTTCAGCCTGAGAAGGAATTATCAACCAAGTGGGATGTATACACAAATTGTTCTGCTACTATCTGACTATATGAAAGTGATATAATTTTCTAGCTATAAGTCTCTTCTTCAAAGATAATAGAAGCAATGTTATTGGCATTGTTATGTGTCGATTCGCAAATTGAAACAATATCTTCACCCAGAAATCTGTACACAAAAGAACCTAGTGTGAAACCAAGAAGTGGTATACAATCAACAAATGTGTTACAAAGATACACTAGGTTTATAAATCAATACAATGCATGGCAATTACAATGGCAGTACGTGGTAGTACAATATTCATTGATGATATAACATGATGGCAGTGGTCAGTATCAAATACAAAAATACAATGGTGATAGCAAAAGTCAGTGGTAAAAATATATATTCACCGAGCGGCGACAGTGGTCAAGCTTCCATGATGGGTAAGGTAGGGAATCAGGGATGATGAGCGATCCTCACATTAATGCTGGTTTGGAAGTGATGGACTGCATGAGAGATGATGTATGGGAGAGATACGTAAACACACTCTTGTTCCACTATATGTACAGCCTAACAAACTACTGGAAGTTTCCATACAGTTCCCTCACAACATAAAACATTACAGAAATTTCCATAACATACTATCACCGTCCACGGTATTCCGCTGTATACTGGAAAGGTAGTTTACACACCACACAAGCATCTAAATATTGTAACTTCCTGATGACTGATCACTGTCCAAAAACAATGCAAGCCTCTACCGAATCTCAACCAAAAACAATGTAACACAGTTACAATCATTGTTGAAAAATAAAATACATTGCCACATAACAGCATGATTGATAAGGAATGAAATAGATAGCCCATCATACAAGTAAAAGACTTTCAGAGCAGAAATAGGCAATGAAAGTTAATTTAGCAATAGTTTCTCTCATGATAAATGCTATAGATGATAAGATTTGGTGGCTTCATAAGAACCTATGTCAGGCTTCTCTCATTAATGAGTGATTTTGAAAAGCTTTTTTGTTACATTGGATTCATCAGTGTAGTATAATGTCATTTCTCATTAATGTCTTTGCAAAATCCCTAATTTTTACTTTTGTTTTTTCAGTCACTCAAGAAAGAAAAGAGAGATGGTGAGTTGAAGATGAAGTTAGACGCATCAGCAGAATGTTCAATACAGTTGTACAGCATATCTCATGATATGTTTTAACAGTGCCAAATGTCTCAGAAGACATTTAAAATTTTCAGTGAAACTGTATATCATTTTAGGTATTTAGCATGTGTTTACAGATTTGTCTAGACATGCCTGGAGGCTGATATTAGGTCCTATGTTTGCAGCAAATGACTAAAAATTCCAATTTGAATTAGAAATTTCTTAATTCCTCAGAATTTACAAATATTAGAACATTACAAAATCAATATTTGAACACTATCACAAATTTGCACTTAGTTTGGAACCGAAGGTAAATGGTGTTAAAGTGAATTAGCAGTATTGCCACAGTTGTTGTACCATGTACACTGACCTGTGAAGGTCTATGGTAGAATAGGTCTTCAGCAACCCATGCTTGCCGTACAAGGCGACTATGCTTGTCGTCAGAGGCGACTAACGGGATCGCATGGTCAGGCTCGCTGACTTGGTTGATGCATGTCATCGATCCCAATTGCGGGGATCGATGTTCATGATGTCAATCACTAGATTGTCTTGTCCAGTCTCGATTATTTACAGACCGCCGTCATATAGCTGGAATATTGCTTAGTGTGGCGTTCAACAACAAACAAACAAACAAACAAACCTTATTGTGTGGATCGATGCTCAGGATGACAATCACTGGATTGTCTCGTCCAGACTCGATTATTTACAGTCGCTGTCATATAACTGGAATATTGCTGAGTGTGGCATTAAAAAAAACAACGTGCCATGTATACCACACAAATAGGTAATAAGAGCTATGTATATTCCCTTTATGAGGATGGTGAATATTGAAAATTACAGATCAACTGTCTCAGGGTAACACTTAAGACTGGCAATGATTATGCTTCACAATAGATATGAGTAATCATTGTATAAATGTCTGTAATGTATGGCAATTTAATAATGTGATGAAGTTGCTGATGATCATTGATGACGTGTTTTCCAGAGCTGCAGGAAGCATTCATCATGAACCAGGGGTCCGATCAGAGGCTACCTCTCAGGATGCTTGGAGTTGTAGTCCGCTCCATCGGGTGTAGTCCATGTGAGGCAGACCTCAACAAGATCGAGAAGGACCTTTCAGGAAGAGGTTAGTGCTTGTCAACGATTTGTCCAGATACAAATTTTGCATTTTGTTTTTATGTCATTTTTGGTGAAAATGCATTGCCGATTTATGTGTTGGTGGTTGGGATGTCCCTCCCTCTGGAAAGACTCCCTAATATGTTGTTAGCATGGTTACAGTAGCTATCCCAGAATGCATTGATAAATGAGAAATCTGTTATCATCCTGTCATATTGATATTGACTACCTTTAATCATTATATTAATATTGCAATAAATTCCATTCAGTAAAACTCTCTGAGTCCCTTTTGAAGCCTATGCTTGTCACAAGAGGCGACTAACAGGATTGGGTGGTTTTGCTCGCTGACTTGGTTGATGCATGTTATCGTATCCCAGTTATCGTATCCCAGTTGCATAGATAGATGCCCGTGATGTAAATCTGGATTGTATGGTCCAGACTTGAATAATTTGCAGACTGCCGTCATATAGCTGGAATATTGTTGAATGCTGCTTTAAACAACAAACAAGCAAACGGACAAAATTTACACATGAAACGTAACTAATAATGAGTGATGAAGGGATATGGTAAGCTCTGATAAAAGACGTGGTTCCAATAACGCTTAATTTAAAGGAGCTAGGTAAGTTATAACATTTGTTTGTTTGGTGTATATTTTCATGTGTGACCTTTGTTTTGTCACAAATATTGAATACCACTAGACAGAATGTCAGGAAGGGCAGTAAGAATCAGGTTCACTAGGGTAATTGGAACCACATCACTTCCAACGCCGATGGAATGATGCACTTTTGTTTCCAGGTTTTCAGTGGTGGTTCCAGAAATGTGAATACCTTGTCTGTTGAGATGGTTACAGGAACAGTTGTGTATGTATATGTTACCATGGTTACAGGCGTGACGTCACTGGACTACAACCAGGTTGAACAAATTGTCTCCACCAACAGCTGGGTGCCAGAATCTCTGGAGACGCTCAAGGAAGCGTTTGCGACGTTTGACCGTGAGGGAAACGGTTTTATTCCAGCGCAGGACTTGCGGTATGTGCTCACTCACATGGGCGAGAAGCTTCGTGATGAGGACGTCGATGAGATGATCAGGGAGGTCGACCTCACTGGGGATGGACAAGTCAACTTTGAAGGTAGGATATTATTTAGTGGCAGTTACACTGTCGCATAAATTTATATATATTTTCCCACATAGTTTTTTTCTATATTTGATTGGTTGTGTGTAAGTGACCAGTTAGTGTATTGCCCCTTGTCAAAGAAACCATGATTGACCAGAGAGTTTGATGTGATATGCTCTCCGAATCTGCCATCTTGTCTAACAACTTCAACTATACTGCAGGACTTTTATTAAGAGTGACCTATATGTATTAAAACAAAATAGGAATATGTAATAAGACATATATTTGTCAATGTAAATAAAATAGTTTATTGTAAATACATACCTGTACCTTGGAAAGAATAGGGGCTATCACCAGTGCCGTAGCCAGCCGGAGGGCAGTTGCTCCCCTGGATTTTTTATAGAAAGCATTTTTCCTTGTGAAAGTTAACTTGAATAAGAAATGAATAATCTTATTTGCCCCCCTGTCCAAAAAAGTCAACTACGGCCTTGATCACTCAATATGAATAATGTTTGAATTTATCTTCTCGCACACTATGGATCTCTCTTTCTTCTTCGATCCTAAATGGAAAATGTACTAATACAAAGGTTTCCAGTTTCTACATAAAAACAATTCGCCTGAACACCCCTTGCATCACTTCCCAACAATCTGGGTCACGTATATTCTGCATACTCTGTAAGCATGTTGACCTATACAAGCTAGCCACATGATTTCCCAAGCCAACTCATTCTCTTTCTTATCACCACGGTGTGATGACTTACAGAGTTGAGACTTATATATTCTTTACCTGAGGATAATTTTTAAGCCCTTGATTGTTTTCTCTCATGGTCTAGTCAAGGATGATCAAGAAGTGCGACTTCCCACTTGCAGGAGTTTTTTCACCCTCAGATCCCCACCCTCAGATCTGATTTTAATGAGATTGGAAAACATGCATTGTGTAGTCTTTTTAACTTGAATTCTTTCAACACGGTATTGCCTTTTAGACAGTTTAAAGTGATGGTTTTGGCATTATCTGCCCTCAAATTGTCTTGATTACAGTTTCTGAGGGAACATTTTCATCAAATGTTTGCTTTATTTTCTTTCAGGTCTCTCCAAGTCCTTGTTATCATACATCTGATTGGCTGCTGTTGGCTGTGTATAAAACATATCATGTGAGAGAGATGGTTAGCCAGATAGTGAACATTCTCAGCTGGAGCTCTGTTCAAAGGGAGATAACTCACACCACCACTCATACCACCACCTGATGTCCACTGACACAAGAGACATCAAGTTATATCTTCATATCCTCACACTGACTTACAGATATTTTAATTACACATTTCCAATATGTATTCCTTAGTACTGGAAACATTCCGTCTGAATTGAAATATATATGTTAAATGGCAGTTTGAAATCATTACGGAACCAACTTTGTAAATGATGAATATTTATTGACAGCTTTGGTGTTCAATCCCTTCAAACATTGTCATTATATGTTTGTTTTTTTAGATTTGTCTTTTCACTAAATATTGTTTACAAACTGTTATTCATTGACTTTGTTTATCATCAGGAACATTTGTTGAATATCTTGGTACATATTTCGATACTAAACATATCTCCACATTAAATTTAAACCACTTCGCTGTGCATTTTGATCAACTGAATGCATCTTAAAAGTATATCTATGTCAGTTTTGTAAGAACTTGTATCTTTACAATATAAATATATTTGGAAAATGCTTGGCACATTATTGAATATTATCTTGATTACCTTTAGGAGATAGTTCTTAAGTTGTGGCTTGTTAAAATATGTTAATATGCAACAGTTGACTTTTGAGTTCTCAGTCTTTTGGGTATTATGTTTGATGTAGATAAATGGTGAATAAATGCATATCGTTACTAATTTCTTCTTGTTTGATTGTTTCTTCACATCAACAAGTAGATTGTCCTGGAGATGCCCAAACAATACCTACAACATATCTCTTTCTTGTGTTTTCATGGGGTTTAACGTTGCGTTCAAAATTATTGCGTTGTGCATGCATGTGTGTGTGGCTGCTTGTCCAGACTGATGCCGATTTTTATAGTGGTAGCCCACCGAGATACCAGTTTAACATGAATACCCCACTCAGACACAGTTTACTGACTCTGAGCCGACCAGTTCTTGTTTAAGCCCTTTAATGCTGAGCACCAGCAGGGTAGTAACAGGTACCGGGGATCGAACCCCTGACCTTCTTCTCTCTGGGTGGATGCTCTACCTCAAGACCACAGGGCAGTCTCACATGCTTGTGAAGACTGGTGATATAGGAAATAGGTTTTCAGATGTATTGCTGCCCTTGTTGTTTCCAGTGCAAAGTAGGTGCCCAGTATCAATGTGCATCCTGGTTGATGGGGCACTGGTGGCCGAGTCGTCTATGGTGCCGCCATTGCCAGTGCAGAGTTGTGTCCCCTGGTCACACCTGTAATCGTGGGTTCGAATCCTGGTTCACCCCGATTATGTATCCCTATTCCCAGGTTCATGGGTTTCACAAAAGTGGTAAACATCTGAGACATGCAGCACTGCTCACTCCCCTATTGAAGCTGAGTGGGGTGATAGAACTGGAATACTATTGCTAGATGGACATTCATCATAATTTGTTATTTGGCAGATGAATTTTCTTAAAGGGATTTAAAATAAACTTCCTAGAACTGCCATTTTGCCTCAGCCAGGCTCCTTTAATGTATTTTAACCCTAATACATGCTAAGAGCCATTTCATGGATGTTAGAGATGACAGGGATTATTCGTCCCAATGACCACCTACGTGGTCAGTTGGGTAGAGCGCCTGCCCAGAGAGCGGAAGGTCGGTGGTTTCACGCCCATCCGCGTCAAACCAAAAGATGTTAAAAGATAGTACTTGTTTTTAACCTGCATGGCGCTAGGCTAGTTAAAACTGCATCATTGGGTCTCGGTCGGATGGCACCTTTATAAACTGCATTACTGCTGACTATCACTGTAATATTAAGTCTTTTGTAAGTGTATGAGATGTTTTACAGTTGTAGTTGTTCGTGTGATTAGCGAGAAAACCATGAATGTTTCTTCAGCCTCCGAAAACGGGGATATATGTTGTATATTTGCACTGTTGTTGTTTTGGGGTTTTTTCAACAAAAGGTAAGTACAAGGTAAGATTTTTCAATATGCTTCTAAATGGGAAAGGGTCAGACATTGCACGCTTGTGACAGTTGTCCTTGTGTCTGGGGGGTGGGGTGAAGTTTATGGCAGTATTGCACCCAGACACGGCGGGTAGTGGGTGCGAGGAAGCTATGCCCGAAATTTTAAAAGAACTGATTTTAACTATAAAATTTTAATTATAGAACATTGAGATGGTGTGAATGTTGTCCAAACTGCACGAAATTGCTTAAATTCAATCAAATGTATAAAAAAAGTTTTCCTGCTCACATCCCTGATTACACGCAGACACACACCAGAGAGCATATATACACACACCATCACACATTAGAAGACAACATCACACCTCGATAAACAGATACGATACTCTTGAACGCAACGTTTCACCCCATTTCACCTCCACTGCATGTGAGTGAGTTTGGTTTAACGTCGCTTTGAACTGTCTTCCAGTTATATCACGGCGTGTCATCCTACTGCAAAGTGGTCCAGATCTCAGACATTTAACACTTTAGTGAAACCCACGCGCGTACGGGTATACGGACAAACCAAGAAACAATCGGGGGAATCAGAATTCGAACCCACGATCATAGGTTTTGGGGAGTGCCCAAGGGACGCAACTCTGCACAGCCAAAATCGGCGCCTCTAACGACAGGGAGTCCCTCAAGAAGTCCCAGGATGATAGTGTGACGTCATATCCAGATAACACACTTGCGCATTGGACTATCTGGACCAGAGTGAATTATTAATAGCAGTGATGTATAACTGGAAAACGAATGCCCATGTGATATGGGGTATTCCAGAGACGGCTGCATTTCGTCGTCACGGTGAAGGCTTGGTTTACCTAGGATCGGCTGGAATAATGTGTCTCATGGTGCTAATGTGCAGGGCCCACTTGCACAAAACGATCTTAGCACTACGACTGTGTTAGAGTATGGGCGTAACCACAGGGCCACGGATAAAATGTAATCAGTACAGTTAGTATAGTATGGCTATCCGTGGCCCTGTGGGCGTAACGATCCTAGCTATAAGATCGCTTTGCTCAAGTGGGCCCAGTGTCCTAGTATTGAATGGGTAACCCCTTCGCTGAGGTGGCCACATCTTTCTAAAACCACACACACACACACACACACACACACACACACACACACACACACACACACACAAAGCTCTTTATTTCTTGTTACCACATGGGTATGAATGAATTTCCAGACAGAGGTTGGATGTGTAGGAACAGATCGTATCTGTATGGGGACAAGGTGGTCTAGTCTTCAAAGACATTAGCTTAGTGGATTTGCGTTCCTTAGCCATGCCAGGATCCGCAGAACGTGGGTTCGAATCCACGATTCATCAGGACCATATCCGAGTTTCACCAGTTGGGCAACCTTCATCACTTTGGACATTCCTTCGACTTTACTTCGACCAGGCAGTGATAAAACAGAAAAACTTGTCAATGCAGCATTACGCTTGCTCGCTCGCTCACTCACTCACTCACTCACTCATACCTATGTAAATGCAGGAATAGTAGAATGCAATAAAGGGTCCTGGGAAAATGCATCTTCACACAGACGTGATTAACTTGCACCGAGATATGGCTGCAAATACATTTCTATTGATGAAAATATTTTTTTCAATTAGGGCACAAACAACATGAATTTCCCATAGGGACACTATTACCAATATTTGCAATGGCGAAATACATTGTGTAGATGCTTTGATATTCTTTCCTTTGCAGAAGTCGATAGAATTTATTTTACTTTAAGCGTTACTTTATTGAACCAGCAGAGAGCTAATTCCATTTCCTTTGCGTCTATCGTCAGGTGGGAATCCGGAAAAATTACATTTTTGACGTTCAGCATCGTCACCCGTTTGGCAATCTACAGTGTGACATACACCGGCAGCCCAGCTGCTTCATGCATAATGCCTGTAAATACATGGCGTTACATATGTACATACACCACAATGGAGTGCTATGCGGGTCACCATCTGGCGCTGCATACGCGGTCGCTTCACCCCGAGGGTTACACACGCCTCACTTGACGTGATACACGTTACCATCCAGCGTTACCTACCATTATTTGCGTTACACATTGTCACCTGGTGCTATACACAGTTCAATTGACGTTATAACGTCATCATTTTGTTGCTACAAACGCTGCCACCTGACGTTGTATAGATCACTCTATCTGGTGTTACACGCCCTCGCCTGACGTTTTACAGAACACTCTCTGGTGCTACACGCCCTCGCCAGACGTTATACAGTTCACTAGCTGGTGCTACACGCCCACGCCTGACGTTATACAGTTCACTATCTGGTGTTACACGCCCTCGCCTGTCGATATACAGATCCCTGTCTGGTGCTACACGCCCTCGCCTGACGTTTTACAGATCACTATCTGGTGTTACACGCTGTCACCTGACGTAATACAGATCATTATCTGGTTCTACACGCCTTCACCTGACGTTTTACAGATCATTATCTGGTGCTACACGCCCTCGCCTGACGTAATACAGATCATTATCTGGTGCTACACGCCCTCGCCTGACGTTATACAGATCACTATCTGGTGCTACACGCCCTCGCCTGACGTAATACAGATCATTATCTGGTGCTACACGCCTTCACCTGACGTAATACAGATCATTATTTGGTGCTACACGCCCTCGCCTGACGTAATACAGATCATTATCTGGCCCTGCACGCCCTCGCCTGACGTTATACAGATCATTATCTGGTGTTACACTCCCTCGTCTGACGTTATACACGCCACCATCTGGTGCTGCACACGTCGTCACCTGACGTAAACACGCCATCATCTTGTGCCACTTACGGCGCTGCCTGACACTATACACGCCTTCATCTGGCGCTACTCGCGCCGTCACTGACGTTATACACGCCATCATCTGGTGCTGCACACGTCGTCACCTGACGTAAACACGCCATCATCTTGTGCCACTTACGGCGCTGCCTGACACTATACACGCCTTCATCTGGCGCTACTCGCGCCGTCACTGACGTTATACACGCCATCATCTGGTGCTGCACACGTCGTCACCTGACGTAAACACGCCATCATCTTGTGCCACTTACGGCGCTGCCTGACACTATACACGCCACAATCCTGCGTTGAACACGCAATCACCTGATGTTTTACACGACATCACTTGGCGTATGTTATACGCGCCATAACTAAAAAGCGGCGTTAAACCCAACACACTCACTCACGCAATCATCTGTATCAACACGCCATCGTTTTGCTACGTATCACGCCATCACACAACGTCATGCACGACATCATCCGCAATCATACACACGTACACCATCGTAAGTAGGCTACCAGCTGGGCCCTCAGACTAAAAACATGTTAGAAATACAACAAAAAACAAACGCAAATAAAAAACGCTGTCATCTCGCCTATCGATTTGCACAGACACGTACCCTTCCATGGTAACAGCGAACCCATATATGAAAAGCTTGTTGATCTTTCTCATCACATATTTAATTTTAAATTGTTTTTCGGTCACAGGCATAAGCAGGACCCACTCTTGATCGCCTCCCTTGACACCACTCCCAAGTCTCTTTAGAAACGACTACTAAATTATTCACTGCATATAGTCCAAACTTGAAGGAAGGTCTTTCTTCACAGTAGAAAATGGCAGTGTGTTTATTGTTGCAGTACAGTGCCAGAATCAATACCAACCACAATACCATCTCGCGGTGCTCCGGTTAAGCAGAGCGTGGTATTCAACCGGCCCGAACACACTGAAACACATGTTCCTTGTTTACCAAGTAGGATCGATACCGTTTATTTGTCTTTATGTTTCCGCTGTCATAACTCTATCCAACTGCATGGAATGCGCTAATACGTTAGGCTGCCCAAAGCATTCTTCTATTCACATTTTAAAAACTGGTCACTGCTGCGTCCTGGAGCCATTTGTTCATGTTGTTGTGTGGTAATTCGGGAGTATTGATACAGAGCGTCATAAATATATTTCAATACTCGGGCTACAAAGACAGCTATAACGCTTTGTAACATTTGCATGGCGAAACAGCTTTGTAATGGCGTGGTATCTTCATAAACTAGAGGTCCAGACTATGGGGCATTGTTGGTCTTGTAATGTGCGGAACGTCTTAAAACGTCAGCTGTTGAACAACACCAGTCCTCTATTCAATAGGACCGGGTGGGTGGAGGTTTTCAAATCTCTTTCAACAGTGTTTCAGTTGATCCGACAGGTTTGATCAATATTTCACCTTACGTTGATCCTGGTATTGTTCAAACCTGTTAATAAAACTATTTATCTTCTCCCAATTCTAACTTTCATCTCGGACCTCCACCGTATATAGTATTAGATTAGACTATATAGTATACTGTGCTTGAGTGGGGTATCAATGTTAAACTGCGGCATTGTATCTCAGTTGGCTAGCACTAGAAAACCGTCGTAAGTCTGACTAGTACATGCAGCCACACACGCACGCACTCAAGTTCATGCACGTGGCTATGTAAGTGCGTTAAGCCCCATTTCACTGTTCGAGGTGGATCGCACCTAAGCATGACAACTACACTCGAGCAAAAATGAATGACAGTTCCAGCAAAGTTAATGTACGTCATTCAAAATCCATAGTTTATATTTAAACTCAGTTTAATGATGTACATTGATCTAGTACTTACTGATTACCCTGGTAAAAGAGAGGCACTGTCTTTAAACAAATTAGTCATAACCATGACACAAACGGCACCAACTGCGTCAAGATCAGGACAGGAAATCGGCTCAATACGACAGAACACAGTGGTCTTTTAAATAGGGTTCATGTTTCGTCAACGTATGATACAATATCCTTGAGTGATATTTAGAAGCTGTAACGTCTGTGAAGTTAGCATTGACTTATTGATCACAACTTCTTGTATATGTTCTATCAATACTGATAATGATATAATTCATGACGTTTGCGAACAAATGTGAGTACCGTTATCGACCACTTTCTTGAAAAGATACTAGCTTGTGTACCGACAGGTCGCATTGAAAGAATATTATAAAAAAGAATCAAGAATGCATGTTTTTAATCCATATGAGAGAATAGAGTCTTTGTAAGCTGATCGCTTGATTGTATTCTGTAGATAAAAGCGACATAAGCATTTCCATCTTTCTAAGAAATATCTGCTAAAAGCGGAGTCGATTGTACAAATCCAACTATATTATGAGGAGGTGTTTATGAATCACTATCAAATAGTGATGATACCAGGAGTTCGCGAATAGGTTTGCGTATGCTGCTCTACCGGTGACACCCTTCACAAACACATGCAAAGGTACGTCAATTATTCACCACAAAAGTACGGGAACATACATGGTGCAAGTCAAAATAGGGAATTGCATCAGACATCACTTTTGTTACTGATGGTCAAATTTGGAAATGTCCTCCACATGTCTACCATAACACTTTTGGAAAGCTTTACTGAAGCCTTGAATGTTGCAACCCTGATTGAACAAGTTTTGAGCAAGGTTCGTAGATGGAACTCCGTTCATCCGGACATGAAACTTGAATCTCACACCATGAACTGTTGTTAGGACTGGGGTGAGTGAGTGAGTGAATATAGTTTTACGCGTACAACAATATTACAGCTAGAACACGGCACCTGATATCCATGTAGGGTTTCGAACTCGAGTCGCCTTGTAACAAGCAAACGCCACAACCACCAGGGCCTACTTGCACAAAGCGATCTTAGCGCTAAGATGATTGTAACTCCCTTACGTTAACATAGGCTTACGATAGTCTTAGCGCTAAGATCGCTTTGTGCAAGTGGGCCCAGGTTAAAGTTCCTACTGAGGTAAATATACGACCACACAAAAAGCGTCAGATGATCATGAAAAGATTTATTCAGAAAACAAAGACTGCTGAAAGTACACACTTGAGTATTAAAAAATGACAAGCGTCATGATCCGTTTGTTGGTTGTACCTGCTGATATAAGTCAGCATCCATGTTTGGCGTAAAGAACCATAGTCCTAAAACTGAAGACCAGATTGTCCCTCTACTGGAGAGACCACACCCAAATGTGGCCCGGGGGAACGACAGATCATACTGGTCAAGAAAAAGTCTTACTGGTCAGCTGATGAACTTCCTATTTCGAACTCTACATTCAGCTGATACTACTAAAAAACGGAAACCCATTTACCAGGATTTTTCTGCGGTACATACTTTCACCGGACAAAGGTAATATATCGCCCAGAATATATAACTTCGATACAAGACGTTTTAAGTTTCGCACATAGAACCGAAAACACGACAAATTCTCAAAAAGGTCACAACAAATTGATTTTTTGATTGTAGTAATGGCTCCCTGTTTTTTTAAAAAAGAACTCCTGCTGCAGTTTTTTGGATAAGGGACATAAACATTCTCTCGACCAAGGTGTTTAAAATAGCGAAATTATTATTTTTTATCTTTACATAGAGTCAACCCTTAATTTAACACATTCAGGGATGTAGTTTCAGATGCATATGTTAAGCAAACGAAATTTTGACTTCTGATTCATAGTTACACCAAAACTGAAAGAGTACAATTTGTCATCTATTCCTTCCATTAGGCCAAAAGGAACAGAAAGAACTTTTAAATGGTGTACATAAATTCAAACTGATACCCCTTATTTCTGTAGCAAGGTGTGTGGGTCGTAAGTTCTCATACCTACACTTAGCTGTTCCCTATTAAATAACTTCCGAACCTTGGTCCGCGTTGTGTGACTTCGATGTAAATGGAGCGAAGTGAAATATTTAGAAAAAGTAATAAATAGCGTTGCTGTGGTCCTTGCCGACGTCTATGTCATCATTTGCACAAATTCTGAAAAATAAAGTGGATAGTTTAGTAATATGAATCGTTTAGCGTATTATACGTTCAGTGAATTGTCAATAGCCCGGAAACACGTCTTATAATATATATGTTTTCTCAAACAAATGCCACAACGCGACCGCTTCATTTATTTATTGCTGTGTTTCTTCGAATACCGATTCCAAAGTAAGGATATCTACTTCGTCATTGAAATAGTTGAATCTGATTGGAAGTCAAATTCTGATAAAACGGGGAAATAATATGTCGATAAATATTGACAATCAGAAATCACCATCGAAATTTTCGTTGTTGTAAAGTAAAGATATGATATTAATCAATACGAGTGAATAATGATGATAATAATAATAATAATAATAATAATAATAATAATAATAATAATAATAATATTGCATGAGTGCTCTGTGCGCTGCAAATGAAACTTATAGTCAGTGATATTGTTAAAACACGTTTAGAAGCAGGATACTTGTAGAAGTGCTCGAGTGAGTGAGTGAGTGAGTTGAAAATGCGGCAATATTTCGGCCATATCGTGACGAGAGCATTGCTTAAATCATTTACTCCTGGTGAACACAAACCAGCACAGAACCCGTTTTCGGGGCTCATAACCGTGCATAAGAATGAGTGAACCAGTGGTTGAAAGCATGAGCACCGACACATGCTGTAGGGGAACATTGACACACAATCAGCCCGGCTATATATTGTTACCACCAGTTTTAAATCGGCGTTTATGATAAGAATTCCTATTCTGACCCAAATCCCCGCAGTTTCTCCCACATAAATCTATCTGCGGATACCACGTCAAATACGTCATTTCCGCGCGTACAGTTTGACAATATGTGTGCAAATACTTCTAAGTCGACCCTTTGCACGCAGGTCCTGCACGTTTTCCATTTGGTGCCGCCATACCAAGGAGACTATTTAATCCGAAACTTGGATTCGAACACAGGGGTGTTTCCATGGGCTTGTCAATAGTACAAAAAACAAGAGAGCACGTTATTGACCCGCTCGTTCAGTGTTGAAGACTGAATCCCTGCAATGATCCGAAGAGAATCCATCGCTAATAGCATTATTGTCAAATCCTCAAAGACCGTATTTCAACGATGTCAGAAGCCTGTGAAGACATGAAATATGACTAACACTCTATTTGACGGTTGAAATGTATCGTGTAAAGTTATAAAGTATCTTGTAGATTTGCAACCGAAATCGGTTTGATCGGTCTGCTGTGCCCTAGTTTGTGGTCGGTTATGGTGGTGGACTAAGCACTTCCTTCCACCTGGGAGAGATCTGGCACCATCTATCATTGCTATCAATTCTCCCCGGATTTCCGAAACCCCAATTCCATATTGTTGTCAGAGCTATGATATGATATTAATGATAGTACTCTGGTAAGAGACTCCGAAAGTGATCATAATGCAATATGCGATTACTCGCGTGCCACGCTTCTTTTACACTGCAGAATGCCATGGATACACTGCCAGGCAAACGATTGTATACACCCAGGGTGGCTAAAAATGAAACAAACAAAAAATGTTTTTTCGATGCTGATGTATTTGATGCGGGGATTAAGTTTGTGGTTTGGAGCTTAAGTGTGCAGTATTTAGGCGACTGTTTTCAGGCAGGTTTTGTGACGTTTGAAATTGTGTAGTCAAATCCTAAGTGTATACTTTCTTTTGCCCTATAGTTTACCCACATACACTGCACGTGGCGAGGACCTAATTAAAAGCAAATATATAACATGAATGGAAATCCCGATATGATGTATCAAATCAAGGTATTTCACCTAAGGACAACGCAGCTGATCGAATTAAAAATCGGCTGCAAAAAGTTTGATAGAAAATCTCGCAGGGCGTTTCTCATTTAGCGTTACGTATAAGATTAAATGATGGTGAGGTGAAATGGGGTTTAACGTCCCGTTCAAAATTATTGCACTCTATTCGATGGTGCATCACAGTTGTGTTTTTGACCTTACGTTTGCAGTGTTTTCAGCCAAGTAACCTTTTGATAACCTTTGTATTTTATTGGTCACATCCAGTTTTCAAGTGTATACTTTCTTTTGCCTGGGAGTTTATATGACCACACTGGCATTCTCCGACAAACGAAACAAGACCCCAGAGAAACTCCCATACTTTATCATAGGCTTACGATCAACGTGGCACTGAGATCGCTTTGTGGGACGGGGCCCAGATATCGACCGACAGTGAAATGCGAACGTTTCCAATAACAATGAGAACGTCCCGAGACCTGCTCCAGATCCGGATTAACAAGTTTCTAAAGTTTGAGTGAGTGGTTATGGTTTACCTCGCTTTTAGCAAAATTCGGGCAATGGTACGCCGGGGGACTCCATAAATGACTTCACATATTGTACCCACGTGATGAATTGAACCGGGTCTTTTGTGTGACGAGCGAACGTTTTAACCACTGGGCTACCCAATCACCCCCGAATTTAGTGAGTGGGTATGGTTTTACGCCGCTTTTAGCAATATTCCAGCAATATCACGGCGGGGGGACACCAGAAATGGGCTTCACACATTGTTCCCAATTGGGGGAATTTAACCTGGGCCTTCGGCGTGACGAGCGAACACTTTAACCACTGGGCTACCCCATCGCCGCCGGATCCACGCAATTGGGTTACGATGGCATGCGTCAACCAAGTTAGCGAGTCTCACCACCCGATCCCGTTAGTCGCCTTTTACGACAAGCACAGTCGCCTGTTACAGCAAGCATGGGTTGCTGAAGACCTATTCTACCCCAGATCTTTACGAGTAGAAGAAACCATTGATATCAAGAAACAGAAATCGCCCGGAAATAGGGTGTTCCGGTATTGGGAGGTCCGCCTGACGGGGTTTCAATGTTCTAGTAACAGTAACGCATATTGCTTATTTTCCTCACCATTATAGTCGATCTTGCCATCCCCATCCAGATCAGCCTGTTTGACCATTTGTTTCACCTGGGATTCGGTGATGTCGGGGCAGGTCCCCGTCAAGACTGACTTGAGTTCTGCGGCGGTGATTTTGCCGTCACCGTTCTTGTCGAATTGTTCAAACATCCTCTTCATCCTGTCATCCTTCTTGAATTGTGAGTCCATCTTCAGCATTATGCTCATGAACGCAATGAACTCATTGATCTCGATGGTACCATTCCCTACAAACGAGGGGATTTATATGTATGTGACAAACGACAGTGAGAGTGAGAGTGAATGAGTATGGTTTTACACCGCTTTTAGCGGTATTCCTGTTCTATCACATTGGTAGGGGTTGGGGGCGCCGGAAAGGAGTTTCACAAATGTGGGGAATCGAGCCGGGCCTTCGGCGCGACGAACTAATGCTTTAACCACTCACCTACCCCTCACCACTGTGAGGACACATGTATGCAAATGTATACAGAATATAAAAGTAAGGGGACACTTTAAAATTAAAATTAAAATTAAAATTAAAATTAAAATTAAAATTATTTAGCTGTGCTGCTATATAAAAGCAAATTAGTCACTGAAAAAAATATCTAGTGTGTTCTGTATGTATCTAGTGCATGGTCGGTTGCACATCTTGACTGAACAAATATCAAATACCTCAAGTGCCTCGTGTTTTTGATACACAAAGCCCACGCTCTAGCCATTTGTGAAAAGGCCGCTTAAGAGCGACCGTCAAGGACTGAGCAAAGGGAAAGTTATAAACCTGAACACTCACTGTTGGTGTCGTTGTCATCTATAATCCTGGAAGCTCTTTCCCGAGAAATGGTTGTTTTCGAAAATGTTGACAACGCCGACGCCAATTCATCGGCGTCTATTTGGCCATCACCGTCACGGTCGAATTTCTTAAAGATTGCCGTGTATTCTGGAACAGGTAAGTCAAAATAAAACCCTGAACAAGTATTCTGCACAAGCCAAAGGGTTATATGTTATAGGGCGTCATGATATCAAGAACTTAGACACCAAGATATCACTAAAATTATAGCTGAAAGCCCCCAGACACCCCCTCATTAGTCAAAGTTACTCTTGACTGACAGTAGCTGATGCAACGTACCTGCTTCCTGCTGTGAAGTAAGTCCGTTTGCCTGAAAAGAACAAAAAATATTTATTGCTGGACCAGAATCAATCAACACGAAGCAACCGAATCACAGAAACAATTGTAAACAAAAGGATTAAGAAAGAAAAACAATACAAGTGGAACAAGGTCAAAAGGTCAATGGTGTCTAGTGGAACAAGGTCAAAAGGTCAATAATGTTTAGTGGAACAAGGTCAGAGTGTCAAAGACGTTTAGTTCAGTAAGGTCAGATTAATAGTGCCGTTTAGTTGAACAAGGTCAGTGTCAGTGTCAATTACGTATACAGTCAAACTCATACAGAAATGATTCCTAATATGTCGCGTTTCTTATAGAAGTGAGTATATGGGAAGTGTTCAGCCTGTTTAGCGTAATGGAGGTCGGGCGTGTATAGTAGGTGTACATGATGTGCACCTCATTGTATCGATTAAAGGCAGTCATCAGAGATTGCCACTTGGCTGAAAGTAAAACGTTTCGTACCACCAGGGACAGTCGCGCTCAACCCATCACTTGGCCGTGGTCACTAATCCAATTGATGGACGAACACTGGTTCTAACGCTGCTGCAGCTTTTGAGTTGCAACTATATAGTATAACAGTGAAATTTAAAATTGCCTTTCATAAATGCATAGGTTATTTCCCATGATACGCACATGTGCACATCTGGTCTTAATAGTGAGCATCGAGGCGGAAACAAAGCTTAGTAAGTGCTGAGAAATCGATTGGAAATATCAGGGTGTAAGACTAGAACACAGTCATCATTTCCGTATACAGCGAACTCCGAAATACTACTACTAATACTACTACTACTACTAATAATAATAATGATAGATAGATAGATAGATAGATAGATAGATAGATAGATAGATAGATAGATAGATAGGATTTATTCTCCTGAACCCAGTTAGGGCTAAACCCCCCCCCCGAGGCAAGAGAGTTAACTGACTTTAAAAGGAAACTGGACTTTTATAGTCAGTTAACGCACTTGCCTCGGGAAGATGGGGTGGGTTCGACTAGGCAGCGCTTCCTGGGAGAAGTCTCATTCCTTGTCTGGGCTGCGTGTAGAGGGGGCAAGGGCCCTGAGCTGAGCAAACTCTCTTTGCGGCATTGTTTATTTTAATCTGAACATAACAACACATACAAATGTGAATACCGAACAGCGTTTTATCAAAGAACTTTAAAGATCACTAAGAGTTAGTTGTGCACCTACTTGATCTAGTTCCCTATCATTTCAAATCAAGCTGATAATTACTCCAGTAAAGGTTGGTCTAACTGAGTAATTGTGTTACTTATGTATACAACTTTATATTATGATAAAAAACAACTTTCTAATTGAATTTGTTTGTCAACCGATGCTTTCAAGGGGAAATAACTGCGATTGACGTTAAATCAAAAACAGAAGAAAGTGCTTTTGCTGTTCGATTACATGAATATAGATGAGAATCAATCAATACCTCGTATTGAAATGTTTACTCAAAGTGCATAATATATGGTGCGCGGCCGTGCTTGGTTAACCAGCGGTTGCTTGGTGACTGCAAGTCATCTGTATGGAAACGGCCTTGGGTATAATTATACACTGGATCCATTGACCAGATATAATGCGTGTTGTTATATATATGTGGTAAGGGCGATCGGCTGTGTATCAACAGCCCATACTCGGCTTAACTACTATCGCTTACAAAATGATGCTCTGCATGTTATTGTCCGAATGTATTATTTCCTGTCTCGGTCTGTGTGGTATATAGATTTGGTTGATTGCCGTTGTATGCACAAAACTCATGATCGTGTAAATATCTGATGATATCGACCCTGTGATGAGGCCACGGTAGGTGATACAATTGTTTAACGAAGCGTGACATACAATTAATCAACTAACACGCACGCACACACGCACACACGCACGCACGCACGCACGCACGCATACTCACATTCAACTATTATAAACAGAGAGAATGAGTGGCTGGTCATTTGGGTCAAGTCTGGATTTGGCACACCGGCTGTCGATTGGTTGATCCATGCCATCGATAGCACACAGCTAGTCTGACCAAAGATGAAAACCTCTCGCTGTCAATTTAGTTCGCTCGCACAAGTGAGGGTCTATTTCTTTCTGACCCGAGGTCACCTTCCAGAGGCAAGGGAGTTAACTGACTCTAAAAGACCAGTTTCTACATTTTTACAGTCAGTTAACTCCCTTGTATCGGGAAGATATACCCGAGGTGTGCATGTCAGCCTAAAGCGTTCCGACTCCGACTGTGATTCAGCGATCCAAAGAGCAAAGTCCTACCTACGTTCATAAATACCAACGGTGTGGGATAAGCTACACAACTGTAACTCGAACTCTCGATCTAATGTTTAAGACGATGTCACGTTGTGATCCCTGAAGGATATTGGCTAGCACGTATCGGAGGTCTCTCTTTCTCTCTATAATAATAATAATAATAATAATAATAATAATAATAATAATAATAATAATAATAATAGCAGTAGTAGAGGTAGTAATAATAATAAAAATAATAAAAATAATTCATTTGTATCGCGCTTTTCCCGTGCTATAAATCATGCCCAAAGCGCACAATTATTACCCCGGGCGATGGGGAAGCCTAGTGGGTAAAGCGTGCGTTCGTCACGCCGAAGGCACGCGTTCGATTCAATGTGTGAAGCCCATTTCTGATGCCCTCTGCCGTCGTGTTGCTGGAAATGTTGCTAAAAGTGGCGTAAAACCATACCCCCACACTCACAGTCAATGGATACACTCGAATTTTATTCTCGACTCCCTTGGGAGTGTACAACCCAAGCCGCTAAGTTTACCAGACAAATTACGAATTCATCCTGCCGTGTACATATTCGCGACTGGGCGAACAGAGGTATTTTCCGAACAAAGTCAGTTGCCTGAGAAAACACCATATATAACATGTGCATCAGTGTGGGTCAGGACCGAAGCCCAAGAAACTCGAACATGTTTACCCATCGGCCCACTCCCCGTGACCAACGTTGCCTGATTTGTCACCTGTGGACCACGTATATCGATGCCCAATGATCTGACGGGATTCAAATTAACAAAAATTCACTTTATAAATACCGAAAACTGTTTTCTTAATATACGTTTTCTAGAAGAATCGTGTCTGTGATCAGATAAGAACAGCGAGTCTTGGTCGGCGGAGGGATGGCCCAGTGGATAAAGCGTTCGTCCAAGCACTAAGTATGATTTCCCAATATGGTGACAATCCATGAAATCCATTTCTGGTTGCCTTCTTGAAGTTTTGGACTATAGCTTAACCTTTGCGTAAGCCCCAACATACTCACTCGAAGTCCCGGAGAACTTTGAAATTGCATTGAATTATCTATAGTGCAGTTAATGACTCTACGGGACTATACATCGACTTAATGAGATATCAGGTTACATGAATCGAGTTGAAGAGAATACAGTTTATGTAAAGTGTAGTTTACGAATATTGCAACAGTTTTATTGAACTAAATGTAAATCTCGCTGTCCGTTCCACGTTTGATTGCAAACATGCCATACAATACATTGATGGAGTAGCACCATATTGTCAGCTACTAGTAGCTGTACTTAGTTGCAGCTAGTAGTCAGTAGCTCATTACTACTATCACTGCCGGGACTATGTGGCGACGACACGCGACGACACGTTCGCTAACTCTCCCAATGACCACTGTAGTATTTTCAGTCCATTTCTAAATCTATGATTCACTATAAATAATAATATATTTTAAGAAAACACGTTTCATCACTACCTTAATAACGTAACCAAAACACATACATTATTTTATCAAAATAAAATTCGATTCGGCGTAAAAGGCAAAGTAGCCGTGGAAATTAAATGACGGGATCAGTGGAAATCAAATGACCCCAGGGAGTATCCGCGAAAGCGGTAGCATGCCCTGTCCCACCGGTAGCACCTCCACTTACAGAAAAGTAAGGATTCAAAACAACCGCTTTGGGGAATACGATGATTTCGTTTTGGATCTGAAATTCTAATTCAAATTTCTTCAGAAGCAGTTCCAGGGTGTACGGAACCAACAAGGATGACTTCGCATCATTACAATGTACATCTACATCCTCGTCTGGTGCCCATTGCGCTTAGTACTTAATAAGCATATGGACCAGCGGATTATAATGAGAAACGAATGGGGGGAGCGACCGCAGTCGTATCTACCATATATTGACTATATGTCGTAGTGATATGTTAAACACTCATTGAATACCCCCTAAGGAATGACAGAAGGCGTTTAGAGAATCGAATGCTAGCTTAGTAATGACGAAAACCATATCCCTTAAACTGTTTGTGATTCTGAATGGAATGCAGTATTAATATCTTAGCTATACGAATTAGCGATAATATGCCTGTTTAAGCAACATGACAAAGGCAATTTGTACTAATTACGCATAATGTATCAACGGGAGGCAATACATTCCGTAGTCAAGGACCAAGTGTTCGTCATATCATATCGCTGGAACCAAAGTATTCAGGCGTGGACCGTTTGGAAGTAATTAGGGCTGACTTAAGTATGTCTGTAATTATAAGCTATTTTCTCAATTGACTCATGAGTTCAAATTGCAACTATTGAACTGAAAGGAATATGCAGCTGTACTAAATAATCTCAAACCTCTAAAACGATGTATACCCTGTTTTGTATCAGTGTTAAAACAACTTTGTCAAAATGTAAAATGCGAAAAAATGTTTCAAGTTGATATTTTAACATTGCAATTGAACTTTTAACATCAAAGTATGAAAAGATAAATTGTTAAACGAAAAAGTAGGATAAATATGGATGAAAGTTATGATGTAGATTTTAGATCGAAAAGCCAACTCACCATGTTGCTTGAGTTGTGCGCGCGGCGTGCAGTAGGGTGACTGAAGCTAGACTGGTTGAATTCTGCTCACACCGACACTGACGCGCCTCTCAGCAATACACATCCATTATGGATGCTCGGTGTCAATACATCGCCGCAATGCGACATGCGCAGTAGAGAATTAATTGCTCCTACTTTCATAGAGGGTGGAAACCTAAATGGTTTATGTTATTTCAATGCAAGAGAATTGGAGTCATATTTCTCATATTGATTATTTGGATGTTCTCGTATTCATTTTGCTGTAACATTTTAATGGTAACATTGACGTAATAGTAGGATGTATCGCGGGGCACCTATTGAATTAAGTGTATTAAAAAAATCAAACAAACGCTTCGTTACAGTGCTGAAAATGTATAGTGTTTGACATAAATCAATAGGGGTCTTCTGATAACATTCCCCATAACTTGTGGTAGATAAAAATTGACGAAGAAAAAAACGGATGAATGATTCAGCTTCTCTGAGCTAAATGGCGCTCTAATATACAATGGAATATTCAGGAGCCATAAATGATCCCATCTAATGCTATTGTTCTTTTGACATTCATGTGCAGGCGAATATACAAACATTATCACAATGGCACTCATCTCTACAACTGAATATGATATTTTCAGAATGAAGTCAAATATCTGTATTTAGCAAATGAACAATTGTACATTGTACGCCTCATTTTATCCCGATATCAAACATAGCGGCACTGATACTAGACCCTCGGCGCGTCACTTCTTACTTCTCAAACAACAAACTGCATTGTAGCGTAAAACAATACAAGGCATGAAATAAACTCGTTAATGGAAAAAGATAGTTGAATTTGTTTTCTCATTGTTTGTCGAAACAGGGTATGTAGAAATCGATACTGTCCCGCCCTCTGGCTGTCTTGCTTGGTCTTGTCAAACATGGTACATGATCCGCTGGGATGGGGATGATGGGTCCGACCAAACTGTTCGGTTCAGATGCTGCTGCGTTATCTTGTTACCAGCAAACGACTTCAACCAATGCCGTGCTTGTAACTAACGTACGAGTTATAACTTGTAAGTGTGATATGAACTTTGTAAGTTGAAGCTTCTTTAATGGCCATGAATGTTTCAGTAATGATGGGTAGACACGACGGATGAAGGAGATGAGGAGATGCACCAGCCACGCGATCAATACAGTTTACAGTACACTTGAGTATTTGAGGTAGCGAGGGAGGACGCCTGCTAGGCATAAGTGTCTGAACGAGAGCTTCAACATCATTGCGTATTATATACTGTGTAAATGAAGCGTATTAAACTACAGGCATGGGAATGCAGGACACACGCGGGCCGAACAGTCATAGGTCCTGGGTTCAGATACGTACACCGCCTCAGTTTAGAGTTATCTCCCCCTGCAGTCATAATCCCATCTATGTCAAGTTATGCAAGTCAGGGGAGGATGAAAGGTTGCAGGCTGGAATGATCGTTTGCAAGCGTATATAGGTAAATCATATGCAAACCAATTAATTTGGAAATTCTATTTTTCTGACTGAGTGATTCAGCCTCCGTTATATTCTCATCACAATTGAAATATGTAATTGTAATTATACCACTTTAAAGAGTTGTGAGATAAAGAGAGACATATGAATATCATGTTATCATGTGTGATACGTTTACATAGATAAAGGCTTTGTCTCAATATATGATGTTCGTTGTTGGTAAAGCCGGCAAGTAGTTTTGTTGGGAGAATACCGATTCATGTTTATGATTCAGTTAAGTGATTGTGTAAGTTTCCGATTAAGTCATGTTTATAGTCCACTAAAGTCACAGTGTTGGTCCAGTAAGTCATGGTGTTGGTCCACTTAAGTCACAGTGTTGGTCCAGTAAGTCACGGTGTTGGTCTAGTAAGTCATGGTGTTGGTCTAGTAAGTCATGGTGTTGGGTGTTTGTCCAGTAAGTCACGGTGTTGGTCCACTAAAGTCACAGTGTTGGTCCAGTAAGTCATGGTGTTGGGTGTTTGTCCAGTAAGTCGTGGTGTTGGTCCACTAAAGTCACAGGATGGGTCCAGTAAGTCATGGTGTTGGTCCACTAAAGTCACAGTATGGGTCCAGTAAGTCATGGTGTTGGTCCAGTAAGTCATGGTGTTGGTCCACTAAAGTCACAGTGTTGGTCCAGTAAGTCACGGTGTTGATCCAGTAAGTCATGGTGTTGCTCTAGTGAGTCATGGTATTGGTCCAGTAAGTCATGGTGTTGGTCCAGTGAGTCGTGATATTGGTCCAGTAAGTCACAGTGTTGGTCCAGTAAGTCACGGTGTTGGTCCAGTAAGTCATGGTATTAATCCAGTAAGTCACGGTGTTGGTCTAGTAAGTCATGGTGTTGGTCCAGTAAGTCATGGTGTTGGTCCAGTTAGTCACGGTGTTGGTCTAGTAAGTCATGGTGTTGGTCCAGTAAGTCGTGGTGTTGGTCCAGTAAGTCACGGTGTTGGTCTAGTAAGTCGTGGTGTTGGTCCACTAAAGTCATAGTGTTGGTCCAGTAAGTCATGGTGTTGGTCCACTAAAATCACAGTGTTGGTCCAGTAAGTCACGGTGTTGGTCCAGTAAGTCATGGTGTTGGTCTAGTAAGTCGTGGTGTTTGTCCAGTAAGTCATGATGTTGGTCCATTAAGTCACGGTGTTGGTCTAGTAAGTCATGGTGTTGGTCCAGTAAGTCATGGTGTTGGTCTAGTAAGTCATGGTATTGGTCCATTAAGTCATGGTGTTGGTCCAGTGAGTCGTGGTATTGGTCCAGTAAGTCATGGTGTTGGTCCAGCAAGTCACAGTGTTGGTCCAGTGAGTCGTGGTATTGGTCCAGTAAGTCATGGTGTTTGTCCAGTAAGTCACGGTGTTGGTCTAGTAAGTCATGGTGTTGGTCCAGTAAGTCACGGTGTTGGTCTAGTAAGTCATGGTGTTGGTCCAGTAAGTCGTGGTGTTGGTCCAGTAAGTCACGGTGTTGGTCTAGCAAGTCGTGGTGTTGGTCCACTAAAGTCAAATTGTTGGTCCAGGAAGTCATGGTGTTGGTCCACTAAAGTCACAGTGTTGGTCCAGTAAGTCGTGGTGTTGGTCCAGTTAGTCGTGGTGTTGGTCTAGTAACTCATGGTGTTGGTCCAGTGAGTCGTGGTATTGGTCCAGTAAGTCATGGTGTTGGTCTAGTAAGTCACGGTGTTGGTCCAGTGAGTCGTGGTATTGGTCCAGTGAGTCATGGTGTTGGTCCAGTAAGTCACGGTGTTGGTCCAGTGAGTCGTGGTATTGGTCCAGTGAGTCGTGGTATTGGTCCAGTAAGTCATGGTGTTGGTCCAGTAAGTCACGGTGTTGGTCCAGTGAGTCGTGGTGTTGGTCCAGTAAGTCACGGTGTTGGTCTAGTAAGTCATGGTGTTGGTCCAGTAAGTCACGGTGTTGGTCTAGTAAGTCGTGGTGTTGGTCCACTTAAGTCATAGTGTTGGTCCAGTAAGTCATGGTGTTGGTCCAGTAAGTCACGGTGTTGGTCTAGTAGGTCGTGGTGTTGGTCCACTAAAGTCACAGTGTTGGTCCAGTAAGTCGTGGTGTTGGTCTAGTAAGTCATGGTGTTGGTCGTTGGTCAAGTAAGTCATGGTGTTGGTCCAGTAAGTCATGGTGTTTGTCCAGTAAGTCACGGTGTTGGTCCAGTAAGTCATGGTGTTGGTCCAGTAAGTCACGGTGTTGGTCTAGTAAGTCATGGTGTTGGTCCAGTAAGTCGTGGTGTTGGTCCAGTAAGTCACGGTGTTGGTCTAGTAAGTCGTGGTGTTGGTCCACTAAAGTCATAGTGTTGGTCCAGTAAGTCATGGTGTTGGTCCAGTAAGTCACGGTGTTGGTCTAGTAAGTCGTGGTGTTGGTCCACTAAAGTCACAGTGTTGGTCCAGTAAGTCGTGGTGTTGGTCTAGTAAGTCATGGTGTTGGTCGTTGGTCAAGTAAGTCATAGTGTAGGTCCAGTAAGTCATCGTGTTTGTCCAGTAAGTCACGGTGTTGGTCCAGTAAGTCATGGTGTTCGTCCATTGAGTCGTGGTATTGGTCCAGTAAGTCATGGTGTTGGTCCAGTAAGTCACGGTGTTGGTCCAGTAAGTCGTGGTGTTGGTCCAGTAAGTCATGGTGTTGGTCTAGTAAGTCGTGGTGTTGGTCCACTTAAGTCACAGTGTTGGTCCAGTAAGTCGTGGTGTTGGTCCAGTAAGTCGTGGTGTTGGTCTAGTAAGTCATGGTGTTGGTCGTTGGTCAAGTAAGTCATGGTGTTGGTCCAGTAAGTCGTGGTGTTGGTCCAGTAAGTAATGGTGTTGGTCCAGCAAATAATGGTGTTGGTCCAGGAAGTCACAGTGTTGGTCGTTGGTCAAGTAAGTCATGGTGTTGGTCCAGTAAGTCATGGTGTTGGTCCAGTAAATCACGGTGTTGGTCGTTGGTCAAGTAAGTCATGGTGTTGGTCCAGTAAGTCAAGGTGTTGGTCGTTGGTCAAGTAAGTCATGGTGTTGGTGCAGTAAGTCACGGTGTTGGTCGTTGGTCAAATAAGTCATGGTGTTTGTCCAGTTAGTCATGATTTTGGTCCAGTAAGTCGTGGTGTTGGTCAAGTAAGTCACGGTGTTGGGTGTTGGTCAAGTAAGTCATGGTGTTGGTCAAGTAAGTATTGGTGTTGATACAGTTAGTCATGGTGTTGGTCCAGTTAGTCATGGTGTTGGTCCAGTAAGTCACGGTGTTGGGTGTTGGTCCAGTAAGTCATGGTGTTGGTCGAGTAAGTCATGGTGTTAGTCCAGTTAGTCATGGTGTTGGTCCACTAAGTCATGGTGTTGGTCCAGTAAGTCATGGTGTTAGTCCAGTAAGTCATGGTGTTGGTCCAGTAAGTAATGGTGTTGGGTGTTGGTCCAGTAAGTCACGGTGTTGGGTGTTGGTCCAGTAAGTCATGGTGTTGGTCGAGTAAGTCATGGTGTTGGGTGTTGGTCCAGTTAGTCATGGTGTTGGTCGAGTAAGTCATGGTGTTAGTCCAGTTAGTCATGGTGTTGGTCCAGTAAGTCATGGTGTTGGTCCAGTAAGTCATGGTGTTAGTCCAGTTAGTCATGGTGTTGGTCCAGTAAGTCACAGTGTTGGTCCAGTAAGTCATGTTGTTGGTCATGTCACCATTTTGTTCT